GCCAGATTCTAGGTACTCGTTCTTCCGAATGTCCAAACTTAAGAGTTCATGGTTTCGATTATCAGTTATCAGGTTGAGATCAGACATGTCACAAACCCCTAGTTGAAATTTCCCCGTTTCAATGAGTGAGCGGGTTACTGACATGTGCTATGACATTCTCTTGTGGAAAATACCTCAAGTTATTTTGCCTATCAAGTGGCCATTGTAATATGTCAGCGCGTGCCATCCTAAGCGATTGCTGTATTGTTGTGCAGACAAAACACATATACTCCTCTTCATGCTCTCGATTCACCATTTCAATCAATTTCTCCGCATACTACCGTTCGTGCTCACTAGCGCAAAAATTATCACCTAGTTAGGATCGTTATCCTTGATTTGTGCTGGAGATGTTTGGGAGTTAGCTCATTTTCTTATCTTTCGCAAGTTTGCAGACTCTAAGGAAAGTCGAGATCGGGACCTGATTCAGTTGCCGATGATGTTTTTTACAGAGCGTTGGCTGCACCAAGACCTTCCTCTTGCTGGTATGGGTTCGAATCCCACCGAGACCACCAAGTAGTTCAAATGAATAGAGGTGAAAGATGAAAGAACGGCGACACCTGGCCGTGACGTTTGATAGCGATATGTAGTACTATCCGGTTAATCTGACAAGAGGAGGAGCGGGTAGGCGTGGTAAGTAACACTTCTTCGTTGTCGGGGCTACGCATCGTTATTTACGACTTTGACTTTGTATTACTTTAATTAGAGTGCAATCTATTCAAACTGGCGTTCTACCCGTTACTCGATCAATGATAGGCGCTTGGAAAAGCCTACTCTCTCTAAGTAAGTGTCAGCATCGACGCTTTGAGCGCATGTGCCAGCCGTCTGCTCGTGACGCGAATGGATATTCAATCTCGATAACCGAGATGTAAGCCGGCCAGTTAAGTTTTCCGAGACAGTACTCCTCTCTGGAAGTAGCGTCACAGGATCCTCTTTATTACTCAGTTGAATCAAAAAATACGACGGGTTACACAACTTTGTCCGGTGGGTGTTCCAGAGAACGTGAACACAGCACATTGGACCGAGTAGACTACGTAGGCAACCTGCCAAGGTGAACAAAGTGTTTGGTTTCCTGCCGCAATCCAATTTCATTAATTGACGTGGGCGGGAAAACCACGTCGGTAATATCCTCCTGCGAGTGTCGTAGCCCTCGTGCATCCAGGTGCACGACATGACTCTCGGGAAGCTGATGTAGTAGACGACACTAGGAGTGATGTCTCATTGCAGGGTCACATTATTGACACTGCTTATGGGATCAAAAGGACTAGGGGCTCGATAAAGCCAAAGCGCTTTAAAATTCACTTCGGAGCTTGCCTCGTGCATGATGGCTTCCCTTTTCTAATTGCAAAACTAAGTCCCAGTGGCCAAGGATGCACAAGAGTTTGTTCCTGTACTTCACTGTTGAAAACTGGAAATGACAGCCTAAAGAGTGCCTCGGTCAACGGTGTTTTTTTAAAAAATTTTAAAAGAGCGTAAATCGTTCAATGGACCTATGGAATCCTTGTGCGCTGGGTGCAAGAAAATTGCCAATGATGTTCTGTTGCCCCGGCCGATTTAGGCTTTCTGACAGGCTAAACATGAACGCATCCTTTGTGACTAGGTTTTTATGTTGGACCAGGTGAAATGTTCGCTGACGAGACGTTGGGTAGAGCGGATGCTCGGATGGGCACGATTATGCAACACAGTAGACGCATTTTGTAGTAGCTTACTGAGTAGTACAGGACGAAAGGAGCCACGTGATACATCACAGGCGATTTTACCGAAGATGGTGGACAGAGAAATAGCCTTGATCCGAAGACTAGTATGTTTGAGGTATTCAGTTCCGCCATGCGCTCTAAGTCGATTGAAGAGTGGAAAATGAAATTAATCTCCGGCGAGGAAGAAAGTCTGTGACTTGATTAGAAAGGCCTTTCGGAAATCAAATATCTGTAGGTAATTGAGAAATTAAGTCGAGATGGCGGACTCCATCTCTCTCTCGCGCGCGGTACGCTTTACGAGCATGAAAAAGGGCCTATGCTCGCTCCAGTGAAATGGGTTGTCTTAGGCCCAGAGAGGCTTTGATTTGACAGTGTAAATGTGACAGACCGCGCTTAGCGCCACTGTATAACTCGTCTTGCTTTCGCTTGCTAAGCCTTGTGTTCTCCTCCGTAACAATCTCCCCCTCATGATCATGATCAATCGCTGTTAGAGGCCCGCAATGTCCTGTCCACCTCAAGCTCCCGGTCGATACGCTGCTTGAGGCAGGC